AAACACCAGTCAACATACAGCTTGTCAAACAACAGCGTATTGAGCAGGAAAAAAGAAGAGATGGAATGATGGAGCAACTGCGCTGTCTGCAGTTTCTAACCCGACAGGGCCTAGCAATCAGGGGGCATAATCAGGGCGGATAAGGAGAGCAATTTCCAAAAGAACTCGTAGCTGAGAAAAACCCCACTCTGAAAAGCTTCATGCTCACCGGGAAATATGCATCATGAGACAATTAATGAACTTATAAATCTAATGTATCGGGAGTCTCTCACCACTATATTAACTGACATTTAAAAGCAATGCAAAACATGCAGTTATTGTGCTTCCAGCAAACATCCACTGATAAACTGCGATGTTAACAACCTCATGATAACCTCATATTTTTTTACTTAGGATCATACCTGTGTTTAGTCTAGAAAAAGGTAAATGTGTGCATTTTATTATAAAGTTGTGTATATTTACAGACTGTTGCAAAAACTAAGAAACTTATAAACATCAGGTTTAAAACTAAAAGAGCTTTACAAAAAAGTAACACAATTAGAGATGTTTGGAGTTTTATTTTAGTTATTAATTTACATTTTTTGTCAAAGAGATGCTGATTTGATACCGTTGATACAGTTACGGCATTTCCTGTTTCTGCCGGAGAGAGGGGAGTTTGTCCCAAAGCTTGCCGCTGTATTTACTCCCTCCATCTGACAGGAGGGAGCCTCATGTGTCACTCCACGGAGTTCACTCCGTCACGGAGGGGGAGTGTGTAGGGGTAGGGTGTAGGGCGTGGTTTGGGATTGGGCCATACACACGCACTTTTTCACTAAATGAATCCGGCGCGCCTGAGCCACGGGTGGATCGGGTGCAGCGGCGTGCTCTGTACGGCCACCAGCATGGAGAGCCAAGAGGAGTGACCTCATCTGGGCTAGCTCAGTAGTGAGTAGGTCCACCATGGAGGACAGCCTATCAGGCTTAGTCCTCTTCTTGGGCGGTGCACCCGCAGCCTCTGCGGCCCAACGCCTAGGATGGGTAGGTTGGGCTGGAGTCGACTGTGCGGGGGGAAGGCCACCCTCAGTCAGTAGTTCAACCTCGGCAGCTCTTACCGCATGAGGCATGATGGTGCAATTCATGCACGGGTCCTCCGAAAGGCCCTCCCTCAGATGCTCGAGGCCAAGACAAGAGGGGCAAAGGTCATGGCCATCCTCTGGTTAAAGAGGAGCCATACAGGTGTTAGAGCCGTTAGACCTAGCGATAGCTAGAGCACTCAGCTGCCTGTAAATAACTGGCCAGGAAACAAATATGCAGTGGAGGGGAGTGAGCACAATAGTAGTTAGCTTGAGCGTGAGCACTCTGCTAACTGGGGTGAGAAAAAATGAAGTCAGTTAATGGGTTTATGCCGTGAGAGGAGAGCGGAATACTCTCTCCACTAGCGCCGTAGCGAGTTAGCCTAAGCGAGAGCACTCTGCTAACTGAAGGCTGGAACGGGCATCCAACTGTGTGCAGGGAGAGGGGAGCGGATTCACTCTCTTCACTAGCGCTGTAGCAAGTTAACTTTGAGCGAGAGTACTCAGTTAACTGGAGGATGGAACAGGAACCAACTGTGTGCAGGGAGAGGGGAGCGGAAACACTCTCTTCACTAGCGCTGTAGCAAGTTAACTTTGAGCGAGAGCACTCAGTTAACTGGAGGATGGAACAGGAACCAACTGTGTGCAGTGAAAAGGGGAGCGAAGACACTCTCTTCACTAGTACTATAGCAAGTTAGCTTTGAGCGGGAACACTCAGCTAACTGGAGGATAGAACAGGAACTAATTGTGAGCTGTGAGAGGGGAGCGAAGACCCTCTCTTCACTAGCGCTGTAGCAAGTTAGCTTTGAGCGAGAGCACTCAGCTAACTGGAGGATAGAACAGGAACTAATTGTGAGCTGTGAGAGGGGAGTGAAGACACTCTCTTCACTAGCGCTGTAGCAAGTTAACTTTGAGCGAGAGCACTCAGTTAACTGGAGGATAGAACATTTTATATGTCGTTGCCACTCTTTGCATATCATATATATATATTTTTTTTTTACCCTGTTTGTAAAAAGTAATTTCCTTAAATGTTTTATGTGAGGGAATGGAAAATAGCTCAAAGCTAAATCTGGCACTGTTACGCTTGACACATTTAAATGTTTTAACCTCTTAAGCACGGCGGTCCCCCCATTGGACCCCTCCCACCTTTTTGTTTTCGAGATAATGTCTCAGGGCTTCTTAACATTTATGAAACTTAATGTGTAGCACCAGATTAACGGGAAGAATCTCAGCTAACTGAAGATATGAACCATTTTTACCAAAACAAAACACAAGTCTCATAAGAAGGGTCTAAATGACCCCTGAGCGAAAAAATTCTAACGCACTGCGGCACACAATTCAAGATAAAGATACCCGTATTACTTATCGTAGCTGCACATACAATATAGCCTATTAAAGCTGAGACTCCACTGATTATTTAGGTATAGTATCATCACTGAGCGATCCGAACTTGCGACAGGGGAAGCAAACACAGACATCACAACACGTACCTTTACGGAGCTTTTACGGCAGATCGTCTCACCGTAGCTGTCAATTAGGTCAAAAGACGTGTTCAATGGCATTAAAACGAAAAAAAAAAATGTCTACAACTGTTGATCCATAGGTTGATAATGTACTTGTGCCTTTGAAAAAATTATTTATAATCCATAATTCCATTTTTTATGTAAAAATCGGAGCGGAAAAGTTAGCTGCTAATGGTAGCCACCATAGAGTATGCAGCTTCCGGTTTTGGTAACGCGTCACTCTCACTCCTTATTTGTTAACGTTTTGGTGTGTATATAACTTTCCCTCGATTCCATTGGCTCTAGCGGTTATAAAGAGATTTCATTCATCAAAATCGAGCAAGGGGGGCCAGAGATAGGTCAAATCCACCCAAATGACCCCAGAAGTGGGGGTTTTTGGCTAAATCTCTCTAAAAAGGTCAAATTTCACTTGTTTTGCATCAATCTTGATACAGGGTACTTATTATATGTTGTACTTTGGATTCCTAAAGCTTTTAGTCTACTAACCCATCATCCAAGGGTAGTTTTCACTATAAGTAAAAAATAATTTTTGGACGGACACTATAATTTACAGTTTTTTACTATGTAAAATCTGAATTTTTTTAATAAAAAACATCTATATTGATTCTGACTTTTCTACATCCAACTCACAGGTTTATCATTACTTTGAGAATAAAGATTATTAATTTAACCCTTTTAGAAGGGAAGATATGGTCATTTGTTCTGGGAATGTCATTTTCGAGCCTGAGACCTGAAAAACAGGCTCAGGGCTTAAGAGGTGTTCATTACAGTGCATTGTCCCTGTCAAATAAACGATTAAATAAAATAACCAATTGTGCGCCGTGAGAGGGGAGCGAAGACACTCTCCTCACTAGCACTGTAGCAAGTTAGCTTTGAGCGAGAGTACTCAGCTAACTGGAGGATAGAACAGGAACTAATTGTGAGCTGTGAGAGGGGAGCGAAGACACTCTCTTCACTAGCGCCGTAACAGTTAGCTTGAACGAAAACACTCAGCCTAACTGGACGATAGAACAGGTAAGGAAACAAATGTAAGTAGTGAGAGGGGGGCAGAGAGGCTCCCTTCACTAGCGCCGTAACAGTTAGCTTGAATGAAACCACTCAGCTTAACTGGACGATAGAACAGGTAAAGAAACAAATGTATGTAGTGAGAGGGGGGGGCGGAGACGCTCCCTTCACTAGCGCCGTAACAGTTAGCTTGAACGAAAACACTCAGCTAACTGGACGATAGAACAGGCAAGGAACCAAATGTATGCAGTGAAAGGGGGGGCGGAGACGCTCCCTTCACTAGTGCAGTAGAAAGTTAGCTTTCAGCGGGAGCACTCAGCTAACTGGATGATAGTACAGGTAAAGAACCAAAAGTATGTAGTGAGAAGGAGGGCGGAGACGCTCTCTTCACTAGCGCAGTAGAAAGTTAGCTTTCAGCGGGAGCACTCAGCTAACTGGATGATAGTACAGGTAACAGTAACAAATTAGCGAGAGCCCTCGGTTAATTTGTACACAATTATCTCCTTAGTTTGAGAGTATATAGGATATAGCACAATCAGCAATAAATGGTAGCGATCTCACCGGCTGTGTGCAGGAGCGTCCGCTCTTTACCGGTCCGGAGCTCCTGGGGTCCGAGCGGTGAACACCGCGGTCCCCTCCCTTGGGAGGGCGGACAGCTCGTCGCAGCCTTTGGAGGGCGAGCGTTTCTAGCCCGCAGCCCCGATCGAGACGATCGCAAGGCTACAGGCGATGAGCTAGAATTTTCAATAAGCTAGCTTGGCTTCTACTCATAAAGTAGTAACCTGCGCAGCGAGAAGATGAAAAAGAACTGAACTCGTTGACAACACCGGAACTTATACCTTCCGGGGTCATACGAGGTCACACGTGACTTTGTTGATATAAATATTCGACCTACGCATGCGCGAGACAGAAGATATCCAGTGCTAAAGCACCGCCTCTGGCGGTCAGTAAGTATGAAATAGAACACAAAAGGTGAGTAGTAAAACAGGAAGTGGGAGACAAGACAAAAATGACTAAACAAAAACATGAAACATGACTAGACTTAACATTTTTGACGGGACACAACAGTTTTACTTATAAACTAAAAACACAAAGTGGTTTAATTAGTCATGTCAGCAAAACCAGCGGGTATTTCACTTTGGTTGTTCACTATAAATAGTATATATAGTATGATAGTCACTCACAAAGGTTGTGTCACTTGATTGTTCCCCCTCAAAAGCAATCTCCAGTGTTGTATATTCTACTCGCAGTGCATTTTTACATTTGATGAATTTTCAAAGATGGGTTGTTTTTTGTTGTGTTTTCTGTAGTTCTGTCCTGCATTTCTGTATTTGGTTATGTTGATTTGCATTGAGTGTCTGTTATTGTAACCTGCAGTGCTGTACAGGGCACATACTGTATTGGAGAGAACTGTGTTTACCTGAACAGGATTTCTACTCTGAGAGATGTAGTAATGTTCCAGGATGGGGTTGTCCTCTGCTTTCAGACGCACTCTCTGTCTGATCCCAGCAGACACTGCCAGTGGTGTTGCTATCAAGCTGTAACACACACACACACACACACACACACACACACACACACACACACACACACACACACACACACACACACACACACACACACACACACACACACACACACACACACACACACACACACACACACACACACAGGGTTTAATTCTAAGCAGGTCAGATTCAGCAGAGGACATACAGAAAATCTTATTTGATGATGATACGTTTTATATATAAGTACATTGGAACAGCCTGCATTATTTACAATTGATTTAATAAATATGATTATTAGTAGCGGTTAGTTAAAGTGCTGCCAAAGATTGATAGTATATGTACTGTATAAGGGCCATTAAAAAAAAAAAAAACGATTGTGTTATGAACTTTTTTTAAACCCAAGGCATTAGTCAAATGTTTATGAGCTTAATATTCACCTATTCATCATCTATACCTCTATTGGTAAGTTGCTGTCCCAAACCTTATCCCCTACATTTTAATTCACAAAAATAACATATTTCTATTATTTCTAAATAACCCCTGATTTTTTTTAACCAGGAAATTACTCTGCATCCCTGCCCCTCGTAGCTGCATGGCGATTAATAAAATCCCATAATTTTTAAGTAAATGTTTTCCAAGGTAGCAAAAATTGTCACTTAGGAAATAAATTGTAAAGATTCAGAAGTAAGTCATAGTTTTGGTAGTGACAAAATAGAAGGTTCAATCATCTTTTGTAAGGCAATGACCATGCTTACAGCAATGTTTTTTATAATTATTATTAATTTATAGTTGCATTTTATTGAGAATATTGAGGATACAGACACAGAGGGAGTGATAACCTCACTAAGTAGTAAAGCACCAATAATGTATAAGGAAGGAAAGAGGAAAATAGCTGTTTTTACTTTAGAACAGTACATAATGGTTATATACTCCAAATGGACAAAGACAATTTTCAAAAGGTTTCCAACGGTGACTTTGAACCAATTCTGTGGAATAGCTGGGTAACGAGTTTAAACAACATCAAATTGAAAACTTTTAACAGTGGAATAATACATATTGCATGATCTAGCAAGTACCTCTACGGCACCTGCCCTTTTGTTTTAAACAGGGCAGATGTGTGCAAATCCTTTAAAAGGGTTAATCCACACAAGGCTCCTGGACCTGATGGCATCCCTGGCCGTGTTCTCAGGGTGTGTGCAGTTCAGCTGGCAGAGGTGTTCACAGACATCTTCAACAGGTCCCTGCTGCAGTCTGTAGTCCCCACATGCTTCAAACACTCCACTATCGTTCCTGTCCCCAAAAAGACAATAATCACCTGCCCCAACGACTACCGCCCAGTAGCGCTCACCTCCATCATCATGAAGTGCTTTGAGCGGTTAGTCAAAACCTTCATCACCTCCTCCCTCCCTGACTCTCTGGACCCCCTGCAGTTTGCCTACAGAGCAAACAGGTCCACAGACGACGCCATAGCCCTCACCATCCACACTGCCCTCTCACACCTGGACCAGAGGAACACATATGTGAGAATGCTGTTCATTGATTACAGTTCAGCATTCAACACCATTGTGCCCTCCAAGCTGGCCATCAAGCTCAGAGACCTCGGGCTCAACAGCGCCCTCTGTGACTGGATCCTGAACTTCCTGACGGGCAGACCCCAGGCAGTGCGGGTGGGAAACGCCACTTCCTCCACCCTGATCATCAACACTGGAGCCCCTCAAGGCTGCGTGTTCAGCCCTCTCCTCTACTCCCTGTTCACTCACGACTGCGTGGCCACACACAGCTCCAACACCATCGTGAAGTTTGCTGACGACACGACCGTCATCGGCCTGATCACAGACGGCGACGAGACGGCGAACAGAGGGGAGGTCGAAAACCTGACATCTTGGTGCCAGGATAACAACCTCCATCTCAACGTCAGCAAAACCAAGCAGCAGAGAGAGGGCCACGCCCCCATCGCCATCAATGGGACTACGGTGGAGAGAGTCAGCAGCTTCAGGTTCCTCTGTGTCCACATCACTGAGGACTTGACATGGACTCATCACACAAACACCATGACCAAAACAGCTCGACAGCGGCTCTTCTTCCTCCGCAGGCTGAGGAGGTTCAACATGGACTCCAGGATACTCTGCAACTTCTACAGGTGCACCATAGAGAGGACCCTGACCTTCTACAGGTGCACCATAGAGAGGATCCTGACCTTCTACAGGTGCACCATAGAGAGTATCCTGACTGGCTGCATCACAGCCTGGTACGGCAGCTGCACCGTCCTCAATCGTAAGGCTTTACAGAGGGTGGTGAAAACTGCAGAGAACATCACCAGGACGGAGCTGCCATCCATGGAGGACCTTTACTCCCAGCGGCTCAGGAAGAAAGCCCTCAGGATTATCAAAGACCCCCATCACCCCAGCCACAAACTGTTCTGTCTGCTGCCATCTGGCAGGCGGTACCGCAGCATCAGGACTAAAACCACCAGACTCAGGGACAGTTTCATCCCACAGGCCATAAGACTGTTAAACACCTGAACTTTTGAAACAACATCCATAACATTCATCTGGCTGCAATTTACAAATTATTTATCTAATATATCATATTCCAATCACTTGTATATAGACTCTTATTGCACAATTTCACAATTTTTTGTTGCTGTTTTTCTGTTTTATTGTGTTGCACTGTTGGTGGAGCCTGTGACCTAAGATTTTCATCGACATAACTACACTGTAGCTATGTACATATGACTAATAAAAGCCTTGAACCTTGAACCTTGAACACACAAATACCTGTTTGTAGGATACAGTCAGTGTTGGTTTGTATATCACCAGATTTTTCCTTTACACTTTAATATACTGCTGTCTAAAACTTCCACCAGTGAACAATTTTATAATGCACTTTAACATCTTGAACATAGAAATGGTTAAATATATATATTTTTAAAAGGTTCTTCTGTTGTAATCTACTGTAAAATCTCTTGGGTAAAGTCTAACTTCAATTGGTGGAACAAGCTCCACGTTTATATTAGGATAGCAGAAAGTCTACACATATTCTGTCACAAACTGAAAACCCACCTGATTCGCTTCTACCTTGGCCATTAAATACAATAAAAATAAATTAATAAAGAGTTTAGCCCATTTGAGACTAAAGCACCAGCACTTATAACGGTTTGGTGTATTTGAAGTGAATATGTCAGCACTTCTCTTGTTGTTGTGATATATCTTTATGGTTTATTGCACTTATTGTAAGTCGCTTTGGATAAGATCTTCAGCTACATTAAATGTAATCTCATGTAGTGATTTGCTGTTGGCACAGTATGACCATAGTGAGGAAAGCTGCTCAGAGCTTGGATCTTACCTTTCAAACAGGTATCTGATGAGTAAGAAGGCGAAGGTGTAGGGGACCGTGACATAGAGATGTGAGGCTCTGGCGTAGACCAGCCCGTCCCTGTCCTCCAGGTCAGACCACGTCAGGTTCACAGGCAGCCAGACTCTGTCCCACCAGAAACAGTCATACAGCGAGTCCAACATCCCTCCACCCTAACAGAACCACACATACCAACCTAGGTCATATAGCACTAGATACCAATACACAATACACGCACCACTGCCAGTAGCAAACATCTGGAAAGAGAGTAAACAAAGTTCCTTCTTCATCTGAAATGTCCTTTCAATATGCCATAGAGCCTGGTCTCAGGGAATGTGCAGTGGGATGGTTCCTCTAAAATGTATTCCCTTACAATTATTAGTTACCTGTAAAATAAATGTATCAACAACGGTAATTAAAGTTTAAAAGTCTCAAAAATGCTACAACTACTGTCACAAACTGGATGAATGTGAAGTATGTTGTTAAAGGAGGATGACAGCGTAATTAAGGAGCACTATTGGAGTGACTTTGATTCTTATTGGACTCAGGATTAATTCATTTGGATTCCCGCTGTATGAAGAAATTAAAGGACGCGCAAGTGGAAACAATTCACAAAGGGATTAAACTGTTTAAAACACATGCTCAAAGGAAGCCGGATTTTGCCGATGTGTTTATGTGGATTCAAAAGTCGTAAATAATCTACAAAATGGAGGAGACCGATCTGATCGGAGCAACTGTGACAAATAATCTGAAACCGGCATGGACAATGATCACGTTTTAAAAATGAGTTTATCCAGAAAAGCCTGGTTTGGACACTTTACGGGCAGAAGAAACATTTCTATTAAAGAAAGAATTATACATTTCTGTCTTGTTATGCCTATAATAGCTACTAACTTGAATTTTTATTCAAATTAATTAATCAATTATTTGTTATATTTTATTGTAATGTAGAGACAAGGCTTTTAGTGACAATCATGTATTGCGTTACAATTATATGTAAAAAAAATAATTAAAAAAAAATAATAAAAAAGTCTAAATATGATATTTGGCCTCAAATCATCGGAGGCCTGGCGCCCCCCCTGCGATCTTTGGCCCCCCAGGTTGGGAACCACTGCTTTACAACACTATATGCTCTTTTTAGTTTTTACTAATGTTACATTCATCTGATTACGTCTTTTCATGTAACTCTAAGGAAATACAGTTACTTTTTTTGTGTATCCTGATTACGTTATCCTGTTAATTGTTATCCATTATTCCCTGAATCTGTTTACACAAAAACCATCACTTTTGAAATACCTTTAGTTACAAATATTAAATCATACTGAGAAATAACAATAGCGCAAAAGTCTAACTGAGTTATTTTTTACTCTTGAGATGGGGTAAAGTTAAATAGCAGGCAGACCGCCGACGGAGATGCTACAGTTACTGTAGTGTACATAAAGGTCTATTTCCTAAACAAATATTGACCCGGTGATCCCTCCCTTTTCTCAAGATCACGACTACGCCTATTTCACAGAGAGAGAGAGAGAGAGAGAGAGAGAGAGAGAGAGAGAGAGAGAGAGAGAGAGAGAGAGAGAGAGAGAGAGAGAGAGAGAGAGAGAGAGAGAGATGGAGGCAGAGAGAGAGAGAGAATACATATTTTACAAAAAAATGACAGTGAAAGCTTGAGCTGCAGCCTAGCAACCGATCACAGTTTAGAAAGCAGTTAATGTTCTTTTTTATTTTATTATGTTTATATTTTATTCCACCTTTTAAATATTTAATGCTTAAACACATTGCTGCTGTAACAAAATAATTTCCAAATGTGTGATCAATTAAGTATCTATATATCTATCTGTAGTCAGATTTTGTACTTAAAGGGGACCTATCATGCAAAATGCACTTTTGTACGTCTTTTATACATGAATATGTGTCCCCGGTGTTCCAGGGAACTCACCAAGTGTCAGAAAACACAACCCTCTCTATTTTCCTCCATACCCAAATCTCTAAAAAAGGGGCTGCAATGGATCTGATCAAAACTGATCCAGATTTGAACACTGTCCTGACGTCAGGACGGTGGCGCTACGGCTATTGGGCCAACTCTCCACCTATCAGGGGAATGTGGGGTTGGGCCACGGCCGGCCATTGCCGCTGGAAAGCGCTGGAGACGCTGTAGTACATATGCCAGGCCTGTAAGTGGCACACAAAAGCAGCGAAGAAGACTTCCCGCCCATAGTTACCATGGTTACCCTTCTGTTTATTCTCCGCTGTGGCTTTTTTTCTCCCTCTCCGAGGCAAGCGTTTGCTCCTGCTGCTTTAATTCAATGCAATCCCTCCCCGTCGAGGCAAGCACTGTAATTCTCTCCGGTTAGTCCACCAGCAGATGACAAACACCCACCTCTCCGCCTCTTCCAAGGAACGAGGGGACCGTGCGGCAGAGTTTCAGTTAGGTTTTCTTTCGCCGGTCAAGATGTCCGTTAAAGTTTAAATCTTCCGGACAAAATTAGAAAAGTGCCGGTCAAAGGTCTTCTTTGTTATTTATTGAGCTTTAAAACAAATGAATAACGACTCTATAGGCCTATAATAATATGCAGGGTGCGTACGGGTGCTGGAAATGGAATTGTACGAGGTGTTTTCAAGGTTTGAAAAGTGCTTGAATTTTGGGAATGGTGCTTGAATTTGGGATAAAGTGCTTGAAATTGTAAATGCTTTACTTCGCTTTTTAGATTAAAAGAAAATAAAGAAGTCGGAGCGCGCTTAATTGCTTCGCTTTTACATAAAACAGCTCCGCTCCGGCCTTCCCGCGCAATGCGCGTGACCGGCAAGTTGTTTTTGTTACGTGTGTGACCTGGGCATTCTGATGAGAGTGATAGATGACAGTATGCCAGGAGGTTGCCGTTTCAACGAGCGTTGACTAGCAGAAGACAAATACAAGCCATGGCTAAGACGAGGGTCAAGCGAAGCCCAAGAGTAGCCTCCTGCAAAGTGTGCAACAATAACGATGCGAGAGTCTGCGCTGACGAGCCACACACCACACGAAAGGTACGCCAGAGTAGAGCATTTTAGATTAGGCTATCGTTGCATGTAAAATACATGACACTTTTCTCTGTGCGCGGCAAAACAAGCTCGCCAAAATGGCTTCACTAGTCTGGCAGTATTTTAAGTGTCCGAAAATGACAATAAAATAGCGGTATGCAACGTGTGTGTGAAGCAGAAATCCTGTAGCTCCACCCGCTGTGACGGACCGGTGAGCGGAGCAGAACACACATTAAGAGTTAGACCTAACACACTTAGCTATTTTATCTACCTCTGGAACAAGCTAAACTAGTTATAAATATATTTATTCTTCACTGTCGGGTCGCTCATTACTGGATCAGTGAGCTGCAGGAGATACTGACGGGCTGTCAGGAGAGAGAGAGAGAGGGGGAGAGAGGGAAAGAGAGCGGTATCGGTATCGGCCGATACTGATTCCGGCGATCGGCCCCAAAATTGGCGATCGGAGCATCCCTAATAATTGTATATGATATGTTTTATAATGATTGATCATGAAAGTGTTCTCAAAGCTGGTAAAGATGCAGCTAGTTTGAATGACTTTGTATACTACAGGGTAGCTTGTGAATTTACTCCAGGTGGAACTAAAGTCTGATTTAACACTTGATTATATTTCACATCATTCATCCACATCTGTAAAGTAACTAAAGGTATTAAATACATGTAGTGGAGTCAAAGTACACCATTTACCTCTGACTTGTGTTTACTGCCAACCTAAAAGTACCTCAAAAATAGTAATCAATAATGTATTGAAAAGTTATTTGGCTGATTGTTTTATATTGGCTCAGCCAGGTTATATGGGATGCCCAGTCTACGTACAGATGGGTCACTCATTTTGAAATATTAAACTTAGTTTTCTTTTCTAACATTTTTAATTTTTCATCCTCATGTAGAATGCTATTATGAAACACACATTTGGTTGTTTATAGCATAAAGAACATCTGATTTAATGTGAGGTAGGGAAATAATCATTTGAGTATAAGTATGTGTATATAAATATGTAATTTACAACAGCTGTAAGATGCTTGAAAAGCTTGAAAATGCACCTTGAAAATGCTTGAAAAGTGCTTGAATTTGACTTTGGAAAAGGTGTAAGAACCCTGAATATAATAAAACACGGAGGACGGAGATCTTTTTTTCTCCCCCTCTTGACTTGATCAGAGCACGGCTCCCCTCTCCTGCAGGGGGGCGTGGTCAGCTGCAGCTCACAGAATCAGACCCGTAGACAGCAAACAGCACATAGAGCGAAATGAGGCATGGCTAAAATGCATGATCTGTTTGGTATTTTGAAAACAGAAACGTATAAATATACCTTATATAGGTATGGCCCTACAATATATCATTTAAATATAGCATGATAGGTCCACTTTAAGTAAAGTAGAGGGGAAAAATACTCTGCATTCAAAATATAGTAGAAAAGTATTGGCATCATAAGTAAAAGTAGTCATTGTGCTGATTGGTCCATTTCAGAATCATATATGATATGTTTTATAATTATTGATGCATTAAAGTGTTATCAAAATTAGTTTTAATGACTTTGTATACTGCAGGGTAGCTTGTGTGTGTGTTCTTGTTTAGAGGTAGGATAGCTCAGGCTGACAGGAGGTCTTTTCAGAGGTCTGTGCCACAGTGGAGCCACTAATGGCTAATATGTAGAGCTGGTCATAAACTGATAATGCAAAATCACCTAAACTAGTCAAAGTCCTGATTCTTGCCTCTGTCCAGCTTCCGTGGTGCAATCAGGTCTCTCATATTTGTTCAGGTGTCAATAATCTTCTGTATTACAGCAGATATTCTACCTGGGGTCCATAGTAAATTGTGACAAAGAAAAATCACCAACTAACAATACTAAACACACTGACATTGACATAATATTTAAAAGTAACATAACTGTAATTTTATATGCATTAAAAATAACATTGCACACAATATTAGAAACAACCAGCTGAGCTTCATTCCTAGGATATCAGTTCGATATCGTATAAGGCTTCGCCCTCTAAGGCTATCGCTATTGGGTAATCCCACTGCGCATTGAAGTAAAAAGATATGATTCTACACTGTATTTTAGTGAACATGTATTGTTTGAACTGTTTTAGGTAATCACAAACGGGTTTTGATAAGTCACTTAGAATAGGAATGTTAT